GGTGAGCGTCGGGGCGCTTGCGCAGACGCGGGCCGGGCGCCGGGGCGGTGGGTGACGCCTGGAGAGCGCATGGGCAGACAAATTGTACGTCCGTTTGTCCGGAGCAGAGGGGAGAGTGGGCGCCATCTTCTAGGCTCGCTGAGAGCTCTACCTGTGCTGGGGAGGCTGCTGCGACGAGGAGCGCCCCCCGCCCCAGCCTCGCGGCTCCGACTCCGCAGCAGTGGTGTGTGTTTATTGCCAAGTGCGAAGCAGTTACCCTGGGGGCGTCGGGGGTGGGGGGCGGGAGGGGCTTGGCGACCGGGACGGAAGAACAGGGAAAGGCGGGGCCGCGCCAGGAACTAGCGTAGCTTCTGCCGTTAGTGCACCTCTTTCCCTGCTAAGCACCGACTCCCCCGTCAGCCTCCATGCGGTGTCGTGTGTGCACTTTCCCAGTCTGCTTGAGAGTGAAGATCTCGAGGGATTTCATAGGTATTTTTTTCTTTGCTATGTCATCGTAGTCAGTGGTGGCAGAAAAGCGCTGAAGGCCCGGCTCGTTAGGCTTGAGAGGGGCCAAAGTGTTTCATTTAGATTTGGGGGCAGTTCACCCTGTGACGAGTTACGGTGAAATGTTTGCCCTTGGGACGGTGTAACGGAAAGGCACGGAGGTTGGGCGGTCCAGGTTAATTTGAAGGCTGATTTTGGCTGAAGGTCTGGCGACAGCATCGGATTCCACGTAGCAACTTTGGCCTGGCGCGAAAGAAGGAAGCTCTGACCCCTGGGAGGATGGACAAAGGCTTTGGGTGTAGAAGCGATGCCTTCGGAGGATCCCCGTTTGAGGATGGATGGATGTTATGGGAAATCCTGTGCCATGTGGATTCGTCTACATTTACGGTTCCTACTGGGGACTTTGGCTCTGTGCCGTCATTACTTTGGTTTTTATTTTAATCATCTGCATCAGAAAAGGATAAAAGGCATATCGTCATAAAGAATCCTTGTGGACTGGGGTAGATTATTTTCTTCAGGGAAAGTCATGCGTTTAGAATTTTAATGTGCTTCATCAAAACTTTAGGTTTTAAGAAATAGTCGCAGTGTTCTGTCCCTCAGTACGTCTGGCAAATGACCTACTATTCTCTAGTTAAAATAGATGGATCTGAGATAATAACTATTTAAATTTAGCCTTCCTCCCATTTCCCTTTCAGGCTTGATTAGAAGATGCACATTACATGTTGTTTTGTGATACTGTGATCAGCTGGGATTCAGTTGCATAAAATCACAATTATTTAAAATGAGCTTGCTAATTTAATTTACTTCCTCTTAAACGAGCTTTTATAACCCACTTCCTTCTTTTCATAGGTTAGAAGTTCTAACAGATCACTGTCTTTAAATCAGCATAGTCACAAAAATACTTTTGTTGCTCTCATAAGAAAAATTTTAAGTGCAGAGTACTTTAGAGTATTTTTGTGTTTTGCTTTTTGTGTAACGTTCTAAGAATAGACTTTCTGAGGAATTTGAGGAAATAACATGGAAACCGCAGAAAAGGTGCTCATTTTGAGAGCTGGTCTCTTAGAGGTGGTCTTCTAGGTGTATTTTCGTAGGAGGACAAATGGTACATTACTCTACTATCTCAAGGGCAAAAAAGTTTAAGCAGTAGTTTTATTTTTCTGTGGCAAATTAGAAGAAAAATTTTATATAATCTATTTGAATTGGAATTCATAAATTTGTACTCGTGGAACTACTTAGCTAAAATACTGTTTTTAAATTAGGGAGGATAAATTACATCACATTTTTTTAATTTGACAATTACTCCTTGAAATGTCCTCAGCGTTTCTTGTAGATTTATTTATGTTACCTTTGAAAGTTTTAAAAAAAAGTTTAGGAGGGACAAAATAATGTTTATTACATTGCTTTCTAAAGTATTTTAAAAGTGAAAAATAGGCTAAGTCATTTTGCAAAGGAAGGAGTCTTGGAACGTTAATTTAGATAACTATTCCAGAAGCCATTTACAGTGTTTGTTAAAATGTTGATGTGGGTGTTGGTTTGTTGAGGAAACTAAACTTATACTCTTTTTTTGGTACTGTGCAGATTTTCAAATAGACTATTTTTTTAGAACAGTATTTTAGGGTCACAGTAATACTGAGTGGAAGGTACAGAGATTTCCCATTTGCCCCCTGCCCCCACCCATACCATGCAAATATTTTAATAGTAACCCTCATTAATATTTTTAATATCAGTTTGGCATGGATAATTTAGATGTGTAAAATGTGCCAATTAATTTCTTGATATGTTTGTTAGTGTAGCTTGTAATTTAAAAAGTTTAATCTGTGGACCTTTCAAAGGAAGATAAACTTTGCAGTGTTCAAAGAACATGTCTTCTGACACCACTTTGTAGAAGAGAGGGACTTTAAGTGTAAGTACTGAATTAGAACATTTATTTGCACATTAAAAGCATAAATTTATAACTAAGTTAAATCATTAACTTAGCAGACCTTAAAAACTTACTTCATAAGACTGCATTAAATATTTGAGTATCTCTGAAAGTATGAGATGTAAATTTCCTTAAGGAAATACTAAGTTGAGATTTTTCAGTAGTTAATACTGATATCCCCAAACATTTCAAATTAAGGTATTTTTATTATATTTTTACCTTCCTACATTGTCATTTGGGTTTCCTCAGTAAAATGTAGAGTTGTTTGAAATGGAATAAATGGATTAGCATAAGATTCTGTGTTTATCTGAACATTTTCTATTTGGCTTAAGATGAATTTTAACAGTAATTGTTTTAGGAGTTTAGGATAAGGAGTAGTAGTTGAGATTTTTGATTTTAGGGATATTTTACTACTTGTCTTCATTATAGTGGAGTTGGGAATTTAGTTCCATCTTTGGAAGTGTGAGCTCCATATGTAGAACTTAAAATTGTATCCAAATGGTAGCCATTGGTCTGGATTTATTGCTTTAAAAATGGTTTTTGAATTTGAAACATCAGTGTTTTGTTCAATCGTATCGTTTATTAATTTGATTTGGTCTTATATTTTGAAACGGAAGAGATTTGCAGGAGAGTTGGACGTAATGAGCTAGATGTTTGGTGTTCTCATGGGTAGAAGTGAGAGAAGTTTTGAAAATTTTTGGTGTTCTTAAATTGTCATTTTTACTTGTAGAACAGTTGTCTTTTTTTTTTAAGTGGATATAAAATTTATGTACAGTGAAATGCACAGACCTTAAGGATGGAATTCATTTAGCCTTGATACATGTATATACCATGTAACCAGCACTCTAGTCAAAACATACATTTCTGTCACCTTTTTCCTTTGCCACTTCCAATCAAGGACTGATTTGCAGATATCTACTTGGAATTTGCACCTCTTTTTTTTTTTTTTTTTTGCTGAAGTATGATTAATCTCCCCTTGGAACAAAGATGACCATTTTGTGATGGTTTTAGTTTTGGTTCCTTATACTGCTTCACTTTTAATAGATAATTCTGCCATGAATATCCTAATCTGGCGTTGTTTAAAGTCAATTGCAGGGTCCAAGGATTAATTATATTTCATTTTCTTTCCACAGTTAAGTTGCTTTTACAGAATTAACAGGTCTCCAAGAAATAAAAAAAAAGGTAAGATATACAGAGTCTAAGGCTTTTCACAGAGGCTTGACAAAATAATATAAAATAGAATAGTACATCTAGGTACATGTGACTTCTGTACTTTATGTCTGGCCAGTGATGCACTGGTGGTAGGCAATTTATTATCATGAGCAGAAATTATATACTGACCATAGATGGCTTTTCTAAGTATGTAAAATTCACTGTGATTGGTAAAATTCTTTAATCCACAAAGCTCTCTCTTGATGTTTCAGTAGAAGATATGTCTGAAAATAGTTTGGTCTTGTTGTGAAGTAGCACTTGGCTGACTTACAAAGAAGATTTGTTATTTTTGATGCTCATACTGTATAGGATAGGTGATAGGAAATGTTTCTTCAGAGTAGCTGGTTTATTTGTATGTTTAGCTGGGAGGAAGTTTATTCCTTGTTTTTCTTTTTTTAAAGAATTAGATACAATCAATATCTTTGTGAACTCATATCTTGTTTTCATTTATAAATGCTCAGAAGGTAGGAACCAAATAATTACTAAGCTTAGTGATAAGGTACTTCAAAAGTAAGACTTGCTATTATGTGTACCTTTCTGTCTGCAGGTCATTATTGCTGTGGTTTGAGCTCAGCATGGCTGTAGTCATCCGTTTACTGGGGCTTCCTTTTATTGCGGGGCCTGTGGATATTCGTCACTTCTTCACGGGATTGACTATTCCTGATGGAGGAGTGCATATAATTGGAGGGGAAGTTGGGGAGGCTTTTATTATTTTTGCAACAGATGAAGATGCAAGACGTGCCATAAGTCGTTCAGGAGGGCTTATCAAGGATTCATCTGTAGAGCTGTTTCTTAGTAGTAAGGCAGAAATGCAGAAGACTATAGAAATGAAAAGAACCGATCGCATGGGAAGAGAGCGACCAGGATCTGGGGCATCAGGGGTTGGCAGCTTATCTAATTTTGTTGAGGCTGTTAAAGAAGAAGCAAGTAATTCTGGATATGGCTCTCCGATTAATCAAGACGCTGGGTTTCATACTAATGGTACAGGACATGGTGACTTAAGGCCAAGAAAGACACGGCCATTGAAGGCTGAGAATCCTTACTTGTTTCTGCGAGGTTTGCCTTATTTAGTAAACGAAGATGATGTACGTGTTTTTTTCTCTGGTTTGTGTGTGGATGGAGTAATTTTCTTAAAGCATCATGATGGCCGAAATAATGGTGATGCCATAGTAAAATTTGCTTCATGTATTGATGCTTCAGGAGGTCTTAAATGTCATAGAAGTTTTATGGGCTCAAGATTTATAGAAGTAATGCAAGGCTCAGAACAACAGTGGATTGAGTTTGGAGGTAATGCAATTAAGGAGGGTGACATTCCTATGAGGACTGAAGAACATTCGCCACCAAGGGGAATTAATGATAGACATTTTCGGAAACGATCGCATTCAAAATCTCCCAGAAGAACACGCTCTCGTTCTCCTCTTGGATTTTATGTTCACTTAAAAAATCTGTCCCTAAGTATTAACAAAAGAGATTTAAGGAATTTCTTTAGAGATACTGATCTGACTAATGAACAGATTAGGTTTTTATATAAAGATGAAAGAAGAACAAGATACGCCTTTGTGATGTTCAAGACTCTGAAAGACTATAACACTGCTCTGGGTTTGCATAAGACTGTTTTACAGTACCGTCCAGTTCATGTTGATCCAGTTTCTAGAAAACAAATGCTGAAGTTCATTGAATGTTACGAAAAGAAAAGACCAGCATCAGCAGAGAAAGAAAGGCTTGGACACGTTTCACAAAAACACTCTCAAGAAGGCTACTCTGGCCAGAAACTGTGCATATATATAAGAAATTTTCCATTTGATGTTACGAAAGTTGAAGTGCAGAAGTTCTTTGCAGACTTTAATCTTGCTGAGGATGACATTTACTTGCTTTATGATGACAAAGGAGTTGGTCTGGGAGAAGCATTGGTGAAATTCAAATCAGAAGAACAGGCCATGAAAGCTGAACGTTTAAACCGGCGAAGATTCTTGGGGACAGAGGTATTGTTGAGGCTCATATCCGAGGTACAAATGCAGGAGTTTGGTGTAAATTTTTCTTCAGTGTCCAGTGAGAGAATGCATGACCATACACAGTCATGTGATAGAGATGATTATCCTCATTTATTTGACACAGATGATCTACCAGTATACTCAGCTGGCCCTTCTGAAAACTTTAGGCATCAGCAAGAGGACTTGCGGCAACTGGACAATTTTAAGCATCCCCAAGGAGATTTCCGACCGCCTGATAGGCGGCCTCCTGAAGATTTTAGGCATTCCCCGGAGGACTTCAGGCGCTCCCCGGAAGACTTCAGGCGTCTTCGGGAGGAACACTTCAGGGGGCCTCCTGAGGAGGACTTAAGGTGCCCTTGGGAAGAGGAGGATTTCAGGTACCCCCGGGAGGAGGACTGGAGGCGGCCACCTGAAGATGATTTCAGGCGGCCTCCCAAGGAAGACTTCAGGAGACCCCCCGAGGAGGACTGGCGAAGGCCCCCTGAGGGAGACTTCCGGCGGCCACCAGAGGAGGATTGGAGGCGGCTTCCTGAGGAGGACTTCAGACGGCTTCCCCCTGGGGAATGGAGGCGACCACCTGAGGGAGGCTTCAGGCGGCCCCATGAGGAGGACTTCAGGCGACTTCCAGAGGAAGACTTCCAGCGACCTCCTGAAGAGGACTTCAGGCGGCCCCACGAGGAGGACTTCAGGCATTCTCCTGAGGAGGATTTCAGGCGTTCTCCTGAGGAGGATTTTCGGCGGCCACCCCCGGAGCACTTTCGGCGGCCGCCCCCGGAGCACTTCCGGCGGCCACCCCCGGAGCATTTCCGGCGGCCTCCCTCGGAGCACTTCCGGCGGCCGCCCCCGGAGCATTTCCGTCGGCCTCCCCAGGAACATTTCCGTCGGCCGCCCCAGGAACACTTCCGGCGGCCGCCTCAGGAGCATTTCAGGCGGCCTCCCCAGGAGCATTTCAGGCGCCCACGAGAGGAAGATTTTAGGCATTCGCTGGATGAAGATTTCAGGGGCCCTCCAGATGAAGACTTTAGGCACCCTCCTGATGAGGACTTCAGGAGTCCTCAGGAGGATGATTTCCGATGCCCTTCTGATGAGGACTTCAGGCGGCTCCCAGAGGAAGACCTCAGGGAAGCTCCGGAGGAGGACCCTAGACTTCCTGACAATTTTAGACTTCCTGGTGAGGAGTTTAGGAGCCCCCCTGATGATTTAGAGGTCATCGCCCTTTTGTGAATTTTGGTCGCCCAGAAGGAGGCAAGTTTGATTTTGGAAAGCGTAATATGGGAAGTTTTCCTGAGGGGAGATTTATGCCTGATCCAAAATTAAATTGTAATTCAGGTAGAGTAACACCTATTAAAATAATGAATCTTCCATTTAAGGCTAATGTTAATGAAATTCTAGACTTTTTCCATGGTTATAGAATCATACCTGATTCCGTTTCAATACAGTATAATGAGCAAGGATTACCTACAGGGGAAGCCATTGTTGCCATGATAAACTACAACGAAGCTATGGCTGCTATCAAAGATCTGAACGATAGACCAGTTGGCCCCCGCAAAGTTAAGTTAATTTTGCTCTAGAGAGCATTTCTACCTTCCGTTACCTCCCCACAGTATTGATGCAGTAAAATGCAATTTTTAAGTGTTTATTTTTAATTATCTAATGAAAAACATTTTAATTTTGATCTGTGAATAGAACAAATGTAAATACTAGACTGTGAATCTGGTTTTCTTTTGCTTGCAAATTGCCGTTCATTTTTTCTAATTTAAAATCATACGGTTTTTTGTTTTTGGGGTTTTTTTGACTGGAGGAGAGAACTGTTTCTCTGAGTGCATTTCTGTTGATGTCATGGGTAAACCTCAAGACTTGTATAAAGTAGAACTGTATTTGGGGAAGGTAAATTTTATATTCACTTTTGTTTCCATTTTGTAGTCTGCATCATTTTACTCAAACTGTATAAGGAAATGGTCAGTGACTGATTGTTCAGGGTTAGCATGTTCATTGCTAACTGCCTGCATAATTAATGCCCTCTTCCTTGTCTTGAGTTATTACTGTGTTAAGCCTCCCATTAATCATAAGTAGTTCAAAATGGACAGACTGTGAACTTGAAGTTTACTTATGTAAAAAGCTTAGGAGATTCTTAAAGTTTCCATGTTCAATACTTTCAAAGTTTTATAAAAATAAAAAAATTGCAACCAAATAGACCAACTAATTAACTTGTATTTGTATGTAAAGAAAAAAATTACAGCTGCTTTTGTGAAGGTTTCCAGTAGCTACATTCAACAATAAGATAGGAGGGACCAAACATTATGTGATAATAGTGTAGAGTGCTATGTATAGTTCTGTGGTTTCTTCCAACATCTCATCAACCAAACTGATAAGATTTACTCAAAATACTTAAAAGATGAAAGTAATTATAGATACAAGGGGCCTTTCAGGCTTATGCTGGGAAGAATCTGATAAATGGATATATTGTGTTTCTAGGAGAATTTATTGATGATTCATATAACTTGTATTTTTAATGAGGTTCTTAATTTCAGAACTTTTTATCCAAAGACTCAGTAACTAAATATAACAACACTTGTGAGATTGAATTTTGACTTCTTTGATATTCAGCATTTATTGTAGACATTTTACAAAATACTGGTTTGATTTTTCTATACCATGCTAATTGTAATGCTAACATTGGGCATTTATTATGTGCTAGGCAGTAGAAGTGTTTTACATGCATAATCTCAATCTTAGTATTCCCTAAGAAGCATAGACTATTTACTTTATTTTACAAATGAGATAATGAAATATATATAGTTTTAAGTAACATCCCTAAAGTCATGGCTAGTAAATCGGAGCCAGTTTCAACCCAGAGAGACTACTGACTCTAGTTCATGCTCTTAATACTTTTGCCTACTAACTTTGTTAAGTGGTATTTTTAATTTTAGTAAAACCATGTTAAAAATACTTTCAAGAGTAAAGGATATTTTCTTACCTCCATTGTTGCTTTAAAAATAGCATTAAAAATACAAAATCAGTATGCTTACATTTTTACTAAAAGACAAAGTAACTTTTAAAAGTTCTCATATATCCAGGTTTCTCTGGGATACTAACATTATATATTGGCTTCTAATTTGAAATTGTTCATTTTATCAAACATGATTTGACTTTGGTTGGCCTTTTATAGTTTACATAAAGCAAAGTTAATTTTCCTCAGTTCTGTGATTTAGGTATTTCCCACACTGAGCAAATAAAAAAAAAGTTGAGTTTATATAGTTTAGTCATTTAATGTAGTAATAGGGTCTTGCAGAGGTGGAATACTTTGTTAGTACTTAGCCAGTTTGTACAGTAAGTATTTTGGAATAATCTCCAGTGATTTAAAGAAGTCTAAAAAAACCCAACTGAAGTTTCTTTGTTTGTTTTTAATTATATCCTGCTTGCTAGTAGAATGAATAAACTGGTAAATTTGGTTTAAAAAAACACATCATTATGGCTCTTGAAACTAGTAAGCTTATAAGCAGCTAGGGGAATGAGAAACTCTTAACATCTGAACCAAGCGCAAGGAACAAAACAGGAAGAAATTATATTTTAAAATGCTCAGAAATTATATAGATGGTTTATTTGATTAGTTTTCTTAAGGAATGTGTTGGAAGACTTAAAAACGCTTCTCAAATACATATCAATAAAAGTTAAGATGAAGCTTATAGTGTAGTATCAGTTAATAGGGAACTGCTTCTCAGTTTAGGCTGGGGTGGGAATGGTGGTGGTAGATAAGAGGCTAACACAATAGTAAACACAGGACACAGGCTTTGTATTCTGATTGTAAACTTAATGGATTGATATGAATAGTTAATTTTACTCCATAATCTTCAGTTTAATATATATTTTAAAACTTTTTTTAAAATAAGTTTATTATAGAACTCTGGCTTCCACTAGTTGGGAACCATTTTTGCACATCTCTTGCCAACTCTGCCTGCAGTTGATATATTGATGACTTAAACTGGACATGGTAGGAGTATTTATACCGTGGAAATTGGTAAATACAGCAAATCCAGGCATTTGCCACCTCAGAAAGCCAGTTTACCAGCACACCACCAGTCTCCAACACATAAAAGTAAATGATGTACTAAATCCTTACATACCCATCGCCCAACTTCCAACAATTGTCATCTCAGCCAGATTGGTTTCTTACTAGATATATTGGGTATTCTAGTGGCATACTGGTTCTCCAGTTTAAAACCCAGTGGCATTTTAATTCTCTGAAAGCCAAACATTTTTGTCTCACAGGTATCTGAAAAATAAAGATTATGTATAGAAAGTAAACTTAATCCCACAATCAAGAGATAGATAAGCATCATATTAGGAGTGCAGAGTTTATCACTTACTGAGAACATGCTCAAGAGCAGTGGCTCTTGGTATATATATCACCTATTAAGCAGTGACCCTGTCACCTCCATCTTTGTATTATTAGCTAATGTTTATTGAACTTTAATAGATCCTGTATGTTTATGATCTGTAATTGTATATAAACTAACTATATCATTTAGTCCCAATAACCGTAATAAACCTATTCTGGAGATAAGAAATGGAGGCAGTTAACTAGAGAGTCAAATAACTAGTCAAGTGGGTTGCCTTTTTTTTTTTAAACAAGGAAGCTAAAAGAGGTTTTTACATTTTTAAAGATTACGTAAGTAACTAATAGCTTTGATTGTCTCGACTCAAATTGTAAAAATGTTGACTGTAACCCTTTAAAAAGTGTGCCAACCTATGTCTGATCTAAAAGAAACTTAATTTTACACTGAAAGTATTACATATAATATTCTCTGTCTTAGAATTTTTTTGAGGTACGCAGACTGTACATTGTATATCAGAATTAATCTGCTGATTGCTTTATATATCAGGCACTGTTTTTAACTTTACAATAGGGCAACTGATGCTCAAGAGAAGTTGAATTGTGATTGTAAGCAGCAAGAGAAATTACTGTAACCCTGTTTTTTCCCAGCAACAACACTAAGTTTAAATACTGCAAAAAGAACAATGCAGTGATATCCTCAGTTTCTTAATACCAGCTTATTTAGAGTTTTAAAATGTTACGAATTTTTTCTTAAAAAGTACTAAAGTATTTTACCACTTAGAACTATTTTTAGGAAGCAGTGCTTTAAGAACAGAACCACGAATAACAAAGTCAAAAAAGCTTTCTAGAAAGTCTTTATTTTTCTGTTATGAATAATTGCTTTTTGTGGTTATCCCAAATACTTTTATAAATTTCCTAATTTTTATATGCCTCACTGGGATCCATAAAATAACAAAAGTACAGTTCCCCATCCCAAAGAAGTAAAAGCATCAGATGTGCTGAAAGGCTCTGATATATTTTCAGGAGTAAGAGTGACTATATACTCTTCTGTTGATTAGATGGTAGTTTGGTAAAATTTGTATAGAATTTTTACTGATTTATGATTTTCCATGATTTTTTTAGGGCAACAGTCCACCATATTACAGCTTTCCAAAAGTTGTACTACCATGTATAATGCGTTAGTGCGACGACGGTTCGTTTTAAAACCAGAATCAGGCTGAATGTAGCTTTTTAAAGCTAAAATTTATGCTTTGTGTGTGTGTGTGTGTGTGTTAAACACTGACATCCTAGTGTCCCATTACTGTTATTCAAGAGTGATCACACTTTTGTCGAAAATAAATTTACGTATCAAATAATGAAAATTTAGGTTGTAGTAAAAGTGACAAGAAAGGTGAAAAAAAAAGGAAACTTGTCTTTTTGATTAAAGCTTTATGGAATAGAATTTGTATTTAATCAGAACAACTGTCTAGGACCCTTTTCTGGTGATGAAAGCATGGTGTCAACCTAAAAGGAGCAAGTGGAATTGTTAGACCTTTTGTTTTTTTAATCTACCTAACTATTGCAACCTCAAGTAGGTAGAGTGTATTAATAAGAAATAATTTTTAAATACATAATTTTTTTTAATGAAACCTATACAAAAAGATCACATGCTGCTAGACAGTATGTTGAAATGACTGTAATGCTTTTTAAAAAACCTTCATTTTTGGTCAGCATAAATTTCCTTTAATTATTTTTCCATTTCCAGTAGGATTTCATTTTGAGGTTAAATGTATCAAGCCAGTATAAAGTTTTACAGTTTAGTAATTCTGGATTCCATATCATTTAAGATGAAAATGGAAATGCAAAGTTTACTTAAGAAAATTAATTTTCTTCTTCTGTAACATCTAAGTCTTCATCCTCTTCATCGTCATCATCTGTTTGTTGATCCCTCCTTAGTCGACAGGTGGATACCTGTTAAAAGTTAACATATTTTAAAAAAATACTAACTTAAAAATACTTTTACATGTTTGGTATCTTTTTAATATGCCCTGATAGAGAAGGGCATATACAACAAATAGTTCAGAAAAATGTCCATAAATAATAATTTTTAGTAATGAAAATTCCTGATGAATTTAAGGTTTGAAATAGTTACAAAGTTTTTTGCATTTATTTATCATATTATTTTTTTGAATAAAAACGTGAAATTAGCCACTTGATCCAGTTAGTCATTTGGATACCAGTAACATAAAATACTTTCTGAGAAAAGTATATTCTAAGTATATTATGAAGGTCAAAAATATTTGAGGTTAAACAATTCTTAGGTCACAAAAAAAAGAATTTGGGAATCATGAAAAAAGGATGGCAAAGACACGAGAATATTTTAACTAGGCAGCTGAAATACTAAACTTTAAAAATAGTATGATTTAAGTGGAATGAATTGTGAATCTGAATTCAACACTTGGCTTTAAGTCCTGACTACTGCCACTGCTGAAAAGTCTTCAAACTTTTACCTCCTAGGGCACATTTGGCAATGTTTGGAGATGCTGTTGATTGTCACAGCTGGGAGTGTGTGTGTTTGTTACTGGCATCCTGTGAGTAGACGCTAGGGTTGCAGCTGAATATCTTTACTGTGCACAGAACGGTACTACTGCTCCCCACATCCTCCCTTGCCAAATCATCTGTCTCAAAGTCCTAAGTGCTGAGGTCAGGAAGCTCTGGGATTATGTGTTCTAAAATGCTACATAGACCTTGGCTAACTTAGGTGACATTATTAGCTCTAAACAGTCAATTTTTTATGTGATTTATTTAATACACAAATTTGTGGAATTTATGTGCAAGGCACTTAGTGCTAGAATAATAAAAATGTAATTTGGTTATAGAGAGAGATGCATAAATAAAAAGCAAAGAAATGTTTAGAGGAGAATCAAATGAAAATAGAAGGTATTGGGTCAAATTTACCTAAAGGTTGTATTTGGAAAATACTTTGCTCAGTTTTAAATTCTGAAGGCTAGATACGAAAAAGGCCATAGCTCTCTGAAGAAGGAATTGGCAAGCTATAGCCCAGTTTGTCTCCTGTTTTTGGAAATAAAATTTTATTACAACCCACTTTGGTTTGTTAGTTTCGTTTATGGCTGCTCTTAGTTGGGGCAGAGACCAGCTGGCCCACAAAACCTGGTATTTTCTCTGGCCCCTTAAAAAGGTGGTTGACCCCTCCCTGTTGTAGATAGCAGGTAACTCAGGCTTTCTGGATATAGAAGAAAAGAGAAAATTGACTCTTCATCTAAAGATATGTGCTTCTGGATCTCTGATAGTGTTCAGCAAAAGATAATTTCTAGTAAGCTGTGATTGTGGGATTTAAACGCAAAGTGGTTTGATTTTAGAATCTGTGCTCTTTATATTATACCAGAGGACAAATCTTGATTAGCATTCTGTCCTTTCCACCTCTGCTTTAGAGAGTAATATTTGCTACAGATAATACAAGAAGTAACAGATCCGCAGCTAGTGTAACCTGTTCTTTTACACGAGAGGGTAAGTTATATGACGTCATATGGCTTAAGGGAAACACTCTCAGTACGGAACAGTTCCAAAGGCAACAGCTCAGATTCCTTTAAATTACGGTTTCTAGCTCACCTGTCCTGTTCCAGATACACACTTAGCTGACAGTGATCTCTGAAGAGGTGACTTGGAATTTGCTCTCACAATATCCAAACGAGATGAGTAATCTGGTGGATACAGAGAATTTCGGAAAACCTGTTGCAATGATACAACAACATTATAAAATGGATACTAAACAATGGAAATCTAGAAAGTTGCCCTTATTTAAGAATTTTTTAAAGCAACCCCTTGACAAAGTTTTACTTAATTGTAAATTTAGAACAAATCAAACAAATACAGAAATGTTTTAAGTTGAAAGATGAAAGTTAAAAAGTTCTGTTAAGCCAGGTAGGATGATGATGGGTCCTGGAACAATCACTTGAGAGCTTTCGTTGGGGAAACATCAAAAGTTCCTGCCTTCAAAGAATAACCCAATGCGGAGACTAAGTCACACCTTTGATTCTTTCTGTTCTGCCTAGCCTCAGCTCTTTTTTTTATCAGTTTAACTTCATTGCAGTACTTTCATAGAACATCACAGTAGAGTAAACTGGTGCCACTATAATTTACTGGATTCCAGTCTCAGAATCTAGAATGCCATTGCCGGTCAGTTTCTTCCTTTGAGCAGTAGTTCTGAATCTTAGCATGCTCTTCAGCTTCCCTGTCTGTGTCTTTCCCTGTCCCACCATTTCTGTAACACACAGACTAGAAGGTAAGTCTGTCAGGTGTGAATTTCTTCACATTCCCTCCCTTTTTCCTCAGTTCTTCACGGCACCCTTTTCCTTTTTTAAAGCAAATGTCATTCTTACTCTCTCCAAGGTGCATTTTCCCTTTAGCCGAAACTTCAACAAATTTTCTTCCTCCACAGATTTTCTCCTCCAGAAAACTAGCTCAAAATCCATTAAAAAAAAAATACTTCAAGGTATAACTTTACTTTTTAAAAAACTCAAGCACTCCACTTCATCTGTCAACAAACCACTATTAGGCTTTCCCTGTCCACCGAAATTGCTCATAAACCACCGAAGTTGTCTTTTTGTCTTCATCGTAACTGACCTCGTCCTGAAACTTCTTCCCCGTGCACGCCATCACTCAACTCTTTGCACGTCCTAGCTGCCCTTTTTCTTCACAGCTCCTTTTCTACTTACACCTGAAACATGTTTAAAGGGTTTCCCTTAGGCCGCTCTCCCATTTTTGACACCCTTCTCTCAAGATGTCTTTATCTTATCAGTGTTTAATGGCTCCCCTTACACCAATTCCCTGTCGACTCTGACAGCCATGTGCATGCTTCCCACTACCTTCTGTTCAAGACCTGCACTATCCAGTATAATTATTTTGAGATGGTGGAAATGCTTGCTGTTCTGTGCTGTCCAAAAAGGCCACATGTGGCTACTGGGCCCTTGAAATGTGGTTTATATGACTGAAGAACCACATTTTTAATTACTGTTTAACCTTAAATAGTCACATGTTTCTAGTGGCTACTGTACTGGATGGTGTAGCTCCAGATCCACCTTCACAATGAAAGACGTCACCGCACACTTGGACCCAGCTAGAAGCCTGGTCTCCAGTCAGTGCCTCCGTCTGTTCATACTCCCAGTACAGCTTTTATCTCACTGTTCTGTAACTGCATATCTGTCTCCACAACTAGTTTTAAGTTCCTCTAGAGCAAGGAGCCTTGTTTTATCTTTGCAACTCCTTCCAGCTTAAGACAGTGATCTGGTAAATGAATGATGTTAACATGACCTTAATCCTGGTGTTTTGAGAAAAGGAGACCCAAATGAGGGGATGTCTACACATTTCTTTAAACCTTAATGAAATGCAGGATACAGAAGGAATCAAGGGATGAAGTGTAACACAAGAGGTGAGGCTTGTGTTTTAGGGCAAGTCAGGCATGCCAGTCAGGTATTTAATAGGTTACTGAGGACCCGATTATATTCTGGCGCAGACGTGGAGCCTGGCTTCCTGGTATGATACCAAAACTGGGTGACTCAATTCACTGGTACCTGGAAGAAATATATGTTCGTTGGAACGACATTTGTTTTTTAGCTTTTCTAGCAAAGATAGAGTGGGAAATGTAAAATGATATATGAGCCTTGGGATAAAAGTCTAAACCAGTTAAAATTAATCTCTTATTGCCAGATTATAGGGTTACAGGAATATTTGTTTATTGGCAATAATGCATTTTCCAATATGGTCCAAGATCTCTTCTAGGAGTGAGTCTCAAGATCTGAATACTCTCTGAAGTGAATGCACAGAGGTGATTTTTTTGAAGGGGAAAGTGGGCCTGACAATACTTTTTATGTGAAGAACAAATCAGGTAAGATGGATGGTTTCCTGATATAACTAGATGCACACGGTCAGCTGCCACCAAAATTATCAGCTCTCAGAGAGCAAGGGCTGCTTCCTAAGAACAGCAAGCTATTTCTCTGTCTTCTGCATATTTGCTCTACTTGTTTCCAAGAAACTTAAAGAATCCTTCCTCTCTTCTTGGTACCTGTTTGATGTAATCACACCCTGCTGGTCGTGTACAGCTCTCCCCAGGCTGCTCTCCTCTCCTTTTCACAGTTTCTGTGTAGCATCACAGTGATAGCTTCTGCCTGCAGTCCACTGCGCCTCAGGACCTTTGTATAATCTATTTATTTATTTGCATTTTCTGCCTGAAAGTTGTTGCCAAGTATCCTACTCATCCCTCAGACTTCTGATTAAGAAATCATTCTCTGATTCCGCAGGCTGCTGAGAACCCTCCATCACATACACTCACAGCACACGGTTTTTTCTATATGCGACTGGTCGCATTATAAAATCTAAAGGGTTACATAGTATTTTTCTCTTAATGTCTGAACTCCTTTTAAGTTTCTGCTTTTTGACAACTTGGACCAATTCTTGAACTTATAATGCTAAATCCTCAGTGCTTACAGTGGTCCCTGGCATGTAACAAGTGCTCAACAAACAGCTGCTAAATGTACATTTTATGAGGTAAACACCGTTAAGTCTCTTCATTTTAGAGATGAGGAAGCTGAAGCGTGAAGAAGGTAATCTTCTTAGAAAGTGCCCCATCAAAAACCCACCTCCCACACCACCCCATACCTTGTGTTTTTTAATGAATCCTACGAGCTGCCGAGCTAGCTGATGAAGAACGGTGGTAAGAGAAGTGATAAAGGAAGTGGGGTGACAAAAAAGGGTATCTAGGACCTCTGGAATGAGACGGAAAATCTTGGGGTCCAAAGGGCTTGAAGGAACTTTTAGTGAGAAATGTACTGGGTCAAGGGTATTAGGAAAAGGAGAATTAAAATACTTGTAAAGGGGACTCCAGTCTTGCACAAAAGTGGGGGCTCAATTTTGAACCTGCCATTCAATGAAGTGTTGTTTTTTGCAGGAAATAGTTCATGTCACTCACCCAGAACCAGACTTCTGGCAGTGTAGTGTAAAGAGGGCAGAAACACAATGTCTCTGGTCAGACTTCGGGGTTTGGCTCCCAGCTGTTACCTATCGGCCATGGGATCCGCTGGGAAGTGCCTTAACCTCACTGTGCCTCAGTTTTCTCATCCATAGAAATGAGGGCAGTAAGTACTTTTATTAAAAAGTTGATGGGAGGATTAAAATAATAGAATTAAAATGCATAGATCAGCAGTGGTTCAAAGCAATCACAATATAAACATTTGCTATTTTATTTTACAAATGACCAATAGAAACCCTTGATAATCTATATTTTTAAAAAATAAGGTATAGAAAGGTGTGAAAATTAAGAAACCTGAGCTTTAGTATTTAGAGGGAATAGACACATAGGAAGCCATCTACTGACAAACAGTAAATAGAAATGATCCTGTATGTGTAATGGATGTAAAACTGAGACCTGATTTTGGTACAGAAAAACATACCCACACACCAAAAGATGTACCTCTCTTCACTGTAGCCAAGCTATAATCTGGTTTTACTGAATTCAAGTTTCCTGGAACCAGTGGAGTAGTGGGAAGAGAATGCCCAGGGGATCTCTTTATAGATATTTAAGTTAGTTAAAAAAAAAATAAATAAAGCAAAAGAAAAGCTGGGAGAGTCTTCAAAATTATCAAATGACAGACACTCAAATTCAAATATCGTGAGTACATGTCCTTTCTCACTCCTAGAGATACATGTAGAGATAAATGGACAAAATACGTCTTGAATATTTTATCTGTTTCAGCAAAAACACTTTGCCTTTCTTTCTGTCTTTTCGGAGGTGAGACTGTAGGACATTTACCCTTCAGATGAGCTCACTGAAGCCAGGCTTGGATATTTAATTGCTCTAATGTTAGTTGGCCAGTCAGATTTGTTTGCATTTAACTAACTATCAGCATGACACAGGTTTACTTACCAACCTACATTTATTTCATCTCTTGCTGATTAAGTCGCACAAAACTAATTAGAAGCCAGATTCTGCTATTTACTAGCTAAGTGGCCGTGGGCAAGTTAAGTTTCTAAAAGCCTTTAAACCTGTAAAAGGAGAGTAACAGTACCTACCTCACAGGACTGTGCAGGGGTGAGTAAGAAAATGCATGCAGAGCCCTGGGTACTGTGCACAGCATAAACACTCAGATGTTCGCTCGAATCAATTAATGTTATTTTTAGTACCGTAAGTAACTTAGATCACTAGTCAAGATGATACATTATTTTGTGTAATGACTTTATTTCTCTTATATTTTACTAACTATTAATAAATTAACTGTTGGAACTTTACCATGGTTAATTTGAAAACTTAAATAGAAAATCATAAAATTTTAGCTATTTGGAACTGTATACAATAACATATAAACCACTGTAGTGTTCTAATTTAAAATATTTTTACCCAAACTCTAATGCTTTTTTTAAACATTTCCATATCAGTAGAAGAACTGAGCTTAGACACACATAGTCCTACCTCTAAATCTTCTTCTTCATCAATCTTTTGTATATTTTGGTAGGCAGCAGTGTAGACCTCTAAAGCTTTGCCGTGAAATAACATCTCGATAGTGATAAATTCTGAAAATATAGTCTAAAAAAGTAAAGATTTGAATTTAAACAATCATATAAACAGCTTTGTGAATTTAGTGTATTCCTTACTGTAGCCATCACATTTTATGAAATACAGAGGTATCTGTTTTTCCACAGGGCAAATGACGTAGAAAAGATTAACTAGAGTAAAAATAGCTGCAAAGATTTTTTGCAACAAAACCTTCAAGAGACATAAAATATTTCCTATTTCACCATTTACTTCCCTCTTATTTTTAGTCTCTTCTATTAGATATTTGTGATACAAAAAAATCTAAAATGAACATCATTACATATTGTTGCCGAGTACCTGTATTAGATAAAGCAAGCAGTTCAGTGCTGGAGCTGTCATTTTAGCAACTCCAAATGATGTTTAAAAGAACGTTTTTAGACAAAAATTGTATTCCATCATATTTCTGCCTGTGTGTTACCTGTACTCTCTAATAACCACAAAGGGATCACTTGGTGGTAATGACACGCCTGCTGCTGATACCAGCACCTTCCATTTGCACAGAGCTTCCAGCTTACAGATAGATGCCGTGCCCACTGCTGCGGGCCGCTGGTATGCTAGAACTTGGGTCCGGTTCGGCAGGCTCACAGCGCTTACTCATGGGCCTGTGCTACTCTTGCTGGAGCCAGCCGTTTCCTTCACAGATACACAGCGCAGGCAAACCGTGACCATGATGACAACCCATACAAGGAAGCCCGTGAGCAAAGAGAATGATCTAAGCAGGGGTGAGATCACTGGTAGGAAGGGGAAGTATACAAACCAGAGAAGTTGTTGATAAAATAGGATCTTATTCTTTTGTTAATTATCTTATCCCTTATCAAGATAAAAAAAAAAAAACCAGAGCATTAATGTAGAGAGAAGTGGGCAGAATAAGAATAGGACAGAAAATACTCAAGCATTGTCCTCAAAGGGGGAAGACAGAAGACATGGGTTAGGTGAGAAGGCGACAGTCAAATACGCATTTCCCTACACTCCTGCTCTCCTGTGTTTAGCCACCCAGATAGGAGCGGTCCTGCACCTTGAAGATTGCTATACAGATATCCCTCAGTGTCCTGTGATCTTTTTTTTCCCTCTCTGATCTCTATTCTTAAGGATTAAAAAACACTTAAGGGAATACTAACAGGCTTCTGACTGCTACTCAATGGAAACAGATCTGCAGTTGAAAGTATCCATTCTGTGCTGCCAAGCACATACATCAGTCTAACTGCAAAACTGGTCTCTGGGATAAGAGACTTTTAACTGTGACTGACAGTGACCTTTACTGTCACTTCATACAGGTCACAGAGGGCTCTGGTAAACTGGACTGGCAACTGACTTGTAACTCTGGACTTCTAATTCTAATTCTCACCAAGAATCTCCAGATACCCAGAAACACCTTAGAGGTAGAATGGCTTCTAACTGGGGCTGGGACTTCTCTTACTTGTCATTGTCAGCCTTCCTAAGATAGCTGGGCTAGCCAGAAAGTGAGGGATTAAACTTAAATCACTTGAATGAGTTGGGTATTATTCCTATTTTTAAATAATTCTACAAATGGACATTCTAAATCTTTAATAGACTGTCACATTATTTATAACTAGTGAAATCCAAACATTTACAGCCTTATTACACCTAGATCAGTAGGTTTAGGCTTAATTCAAATCTATTCCACTGTAGTAAATTTGAGGTATATGCAAAAAAACTCAAAATAATTTAAAATACTTTTAAAAAATTTGAATATAGTTATTCCTGATGGCCAAAATCTCTGAATGTGATGTTATTTCTGAAGTAACATAATTTTTAAGTGGCATTTGTAGGAGTTACATTCCCTTTAGCTCGTAAGTAAGCCCTGAAAAACATGTAGATGCCTGTCACTGAAGAACAATGTATTATTTCTGCTTATCCATATTCTGTGATAAGAGAATCTACTGTGCTCTTACTTCAAAGGACAGTGATCAACCTTAAGTCTGTTAGTATTTTCTAGGCTCACAGTTCAGTTTCAATTAATGGTAAAAAGCATTTTATGAAGTATCTTTAATCAATAAATGGCTACTATTTACTACTTGGAAGGTGAGGGGAAATCACTCTCAAGCTTTGTGATACTTTGGTTTAATCCTTTATGGTCTGACCTTTTATTTCTTGACAAAACCTATATTATACACCTGTATAAGATGGGAAAGGCCTTGTTAACTTTTTATACTGTTGATCACAGTGATGGAGAATCAGTGGCATTGCTAAGCTAGTATCCTAGACTTGGAATTTTTGACTCAAGAGCCTGCAGATTATTACAGAGGAGTGCTATATCCCTGAATATAGTGACGAGGGAAAACTATCAGTTATATTCTTTGTTTTTTCCCAGTAGAATTTCATAAAACATTGGAAAATAGGCAAAAAGGAAGATAGCAAGGAACAGAAGAGTTAGATGATAAGTGGTATAAGAAAGAACATGAAAAGCATATGTTTTTGAAATAAAATAGTTTCAGTGAGTCACCAGAGGGTGGTAGAACTTTCTAGGACCCAATCATATTTAGAAATAATTTTTCTCAAATAAATACAGCTTTCAATGATCTCATGTAATCTTATCTGAAATGAGTCAATTTGGTCATGAACAGAGGCATTAATGAGTTACTTTTTATTTCCCCTTTTCAATTTTATTTTGTGTGACCGGAAGGCCATTTGGATGCATACTTAATTTTTACTGGTGAGGGGTGGAGGAGCTAACGTGAAACCCTCTACCATCCGCAAGTGTTCTGCAAAGCAGGACAGCACAGTCGTTAAGAACATGGGCTCTGGATTAAGGTAAACCTGGGTTCACATCATGAGTGAACCAAATAAGCTGTGTAATATTAAGCAGTTTATCTGTTCTTTCCCCTTATTTTCCTCATCTGTACAGTGGGGAAGACAACAGTATCAACGTCATGAATTTCAGGATTAAATGCAATCTAAGAAAGCTATATAGCATGGTCATTGGCTTAAGTAACTGCTCAACCCAAGTTAGCTGTTTTTACTGCTCAAAAAGTAAACCAGCTAAGTTAGAAATTGCTCCTTATCCCAACGTTAAAGCCTCCATCTGGTTTAGTTAGCAAGCAGGATATATAACAAAGTCATAAAAGGTCTTGTTAACATTTCTGGCAAATAAAGGGGAAATGACAGCTCTCCGGAGTAGTGGCTATTCCATAAATGATGTAGGAGAACTTTCTATCCATTTGAAAACAGTAGTTATTATCTTTAGACATCTACCTCATCCCATATGCAAAATACAACTGCATAAAAGAACATATTTAACATTTTAAAAAGTCATATAAATACTGGAAGAAAACACAAGCAAACAATTATATAATCTTGGGGATGAAAACACCTTCCTAAGCATGACACCAAGGCAGAAATCAAAACGGAGAAGACCAACAGACCTGGCAGCAAAAATGAGTCTTTAAAGTGGCAAAAATTTTGGTAATAAGCAACAAAATGGGAAAATACATTTGTAACATTTTTCCTTCAGTATAATGGGTTAACTTTTCTCAGTATAAAGAACTTTTACAAATTAATAAGAAAAATGCCAATAGTTAATAAAAATGTAGGCTAAGGACAAGTGTAATTTAGTAAAGAAGAAATAAAATGTGTCAGTAAATATATAACAAAGCACTCTGCCTCGACAGGAGTAATTGCAAATTAAGGTGATACTAAATTTTTTACCTGTCAGATTTGCTATTATGAAAAATACTGCTACTTATCATTGTTACATGGGGGTGCTCATGTTAGGGTTTTGTAGAAATAAACTATTAAAGTTTTGTGGGCAGAAGTTTAAAAACAGCTATCCAAATTTGAAGTGCGTAAGTTCTTTGAATCAGAAATGCCACTTCTAGTAATTTATCCCCAAAGAAAAACTGGACCAGCAAAAAGGCTGATGTTTAATGATTCAATGAAATCTGCAACTGAAAAATAATCTAGATGTCCATCAATAAGGGCTGGTTAAATAAACTAACATATTTATATAGCAAAATACTATGAGGATAGCAAACAGGACAGTATGTATCTTTGTTTCTTAGCACAAATATGTCCATGATATATTAAATTTTGGAAAGAGATGCTACATATAGTATCCCATTTAAACATAACTGTATAGGGGTAATGACATATTACCTTTCTCAGGATGTTGTGAGGAGGAAATGAGTTAATCCATATAAAATGTTTAGAATGTGTAACACAGTTAATGTCTAAGAAATACTTGTTGTTGTTATTACCATATATCTTGTGTACATTTCATAGAGAAAAGTAGGAGGATACAAAACAAAATGCTAATTCTTTCTGAATAGTGGCATTACTACATTGTCCTCAATTTTATGAAAAAAATTCATGATGATTTTATATTTACTTGTAAGAAAAATAAAGCTCTAAAAATTAAGTTTTGGAAATGTTTCTTGCTCATGGCAGCTTTGCCACCACTACTGAATTCCTGTTCCTGTTTGTCTCAGGAATGACCTCTGGTTATGGTCCTTTTCTTAAGTCTAGGATTCCTTTGATGCCGTGTAACTGGTAACTTTTCCTATTACACGGGAAACAAATAGGACTGTGATTTTTTTCTTCCACATTCTATACAATAAGTTCATACCAACCTTCCTCAGAAAGACAAATTCTTTGCCTATGAAATCTATGGAGACTTGAAAAGTCTCTTCCTGACAACTGTGCTGCCTTGCTAATTAAAGCTGCTGCCAAAATTCAGATGGACTTGTTGATCAAACCCCACCTTGAACACAATTACTATAGCGCCAAGCAGTACTCACTACTGCTTATCATGTCTGCCCGCAGGGAGGTGAGAGGAGGAGCCTGGGGTCTAACCTTATCTGAAGCAGTAGCGATAGCAGGTGACAATGAGAATGTTCTATGTCTGTTTCTCCCACAATCTGAGTGGCATCAGTAATTTTGACTTTCTAAGAATTTGTTTACTTTGAAAATTAAACATGGCAATATCTGAATATTGTTTTTATTAAAAATAAGGGGGCAGTAACGTAACCCTTTTTGATTGATTTTTGAGGCTTTTGGTATGGGATTTATGCCTGTCTCTTAAACAAAAGATCTCAAGTAAGGCCTAACTTGGAAGAGGAACAATTTGACGGTAAGGAGAAAAGACATACGGAATGGAAAGTCAGAACCCTAACAGATTCTGGTGCTGATCTCTGGAACTCATATTACTGGGAGTTTGTTAGACTTGTGTGCATCTGTATTAAAAATGCACATTTTCACAGATGGTATGATCTTGTATGTAGAAAATCTTAAGGAATCCGCAAAAAACTATCAGAGCTAATAAATGAGTTCTGCAAGGTTGCAAGATATAAGATCAGTATGCAAAAATCAATTACATTTCTGTGCTTTTGCAATGAACAATCTGAGATGAAATTAAATAAACAATTTCATTTACGATAGCATCAATAATTATAAAATACTTAGCAAAACTTATTCTCTGAAAATTACAAACATTGTCAAAAGAAATTAAGGATGATTTAAGTAAATGGAAAAACATCCCATGTTCGTGGATTAGAAGAATAACCTTTAGATGGCATTACTCCCCAAATTGATCTATAGATTTGATGCAATCCCTATCAGAGTCCCAGCTGACTTACAGAAGCTGACAAGTTGGTTCTAAAATCTGTACTGAATTGAAACAGATTGACAATAGCCAAAACAGTCTTAAAAAAGAACAAAGTAGAACGCTCACACCCTGATTTTAAAACTTAACTACAAAGCACACTTAATTAATTGAGACAGCCTGCTACTGGCATCAGGTTAGACATATAGATCAGTAAAAGAGAAGCAAAATCGTGTTAACTGATTTTCAACAAGAGTGTGAAGAATATGGGGAAAGAACAATCATTTCCACAAACGGTGCTGGAACAACTGGGTAGTCACATGCAAAAGAGTGAAGTTTAACCTTCAGTTAACATGATAACACAAAAATCAAATGGAACTATAAAAGTATCACTGTGAGAAGAGAACAATGATAAACCTTTATGATCTCAGATTTGGCAATGGATTCTTAGATATGACACTAAAAGCACAAACAACGGAAGAAAAAATAAACGACATCATCAAAATTAAAGTTTTGTGCCTCAAGGGACACCATCAAAATAGTGAAAAGAACTCACAGAATATAAGAAAATAACTGCAAAACATGTATCTGATAAGGGATTTGTATCCAGAATATATAAAGAACTCTTAAAACACCAATAAGAAAAAGACGACCCAATTGAAATAAAAGCTGAGGATCTGAACAGCCTTTTTTAAAGGAAGATAAACATATGGCCAATAAGCATCAGCAGGGAAATGCAAATCAAAACAACAGTGATACCACTCTACACCCACTAAGATGGGTCTGATGAAAAAGTCTGATGAACAAGTATTGGTGAGGGTGCAGAGAAACTGGAATCCTCATACACTGCTGGTGGGAATGCACAATGGTGCAGCCACTTGGAAAACAGTCTGGCAGTTTCTCACGTAATTAAAGATAAGAGTTACTGTATGAACCAGCAGTTCAACTAGCTATATGGTTGAACTGAAATTAAAAGAAATATCCAAGAGAATTGAAAATATATCTATGCAAAAACTTACATGAATATTTACATTAATCATAATAGCCAAAAGGTAGCAACGGTCCCAAAGTCCATCAACTGATGAAAAGACAAAATGTGTTACTATCCATACAATGGAACATTATTCAGCCACAAAAAGGAGTGAGATACCGATACACCCTGCAATAGATAAACCTTGAAAGCATGCTAAGTGAAATAAGCCAGTTACAAAACATGTATCTGATGATTCCATTCATGTGAAATGTATGTTCAGAACAGCCAAATTCAGAGACATGAGTTTAGTGATACTTGTTTAGGCCTGGGGTGTGGGCTGGGGAGCAGGGAGATAAAAGTGTACAAGGGCTCACTCTGATGTCATAAAAGTGTTCTAAAATTGACTGATGATGGCTGCACATACCTGAACACACTAAAAACCACTGAGTTGTACATTTTAAAAGGATGAATTGTATGGTATATGAATCATCTCTCCATTTTTTAAAAAGTAGGTTTTTTTTCTTGTCTCCCTTTTTTGGTGCCACCACAGAACTTCCCTCTTCCAGGGGCATGATACAGTGGGCAAAGAGGAAAGCTTGGAAGCCCTTTCTTCTCTGTGCACCGTGCAGTCCCTTCCTCCATGTTCTACTGCTTCAGGAATTCCCAGGTAGCAGGAATCGCAGCTGGGAATTCTGCACTCACTGTCTCTGCCCCAGTTTTGTAACTGGTGATGCTCATGGCAGAGTTGGCCAGCATGCAGGTGGAACACTGAAGTGAGCCCAAAGATCAGAGATACGGATTGCCACGTGAAAAAGAGGAGACCGCAGGCACGAGGAACGGTGGTACAGCAAGGACTCAGACCCCTAGTCACTAAAGAAGCAATGAATTGGGCATCCCTCACAAGTCTACAATCTCATTTTTCAGATTAAAGCTAATGATCTAAATCTTCCTTTGTCCCGCAGTTTAAGAGAGGATGTCAGCAACTGTAACACATGATGCTGTCCCACCTCAGTAGAAGGGTTTGTCTCAGGGCAGCCTCCCGAGGAGCGCTGTGTGTAGCGATCTACCACTACACAGCGGAGTGCGGACTGAATTGAGAGGCTTAACATTTTTTTTGATCTTCAGGACCAAACTAGACCTTTGAGCCTGGCTGTCAGAAAAATCAAAAGTTCTGAAGTCCTTTGAAATTATGACAGGAAATTAAAAAAAAAAGGGCAAATGAAGGCTGTTTCATGGATTACAGAGAGGAATGATTAAGTGGCAGAAAATGCTTATTTTCTGATAAGAACGTAACTTTTGAAAGCAGGATGTTTTCTTTGTTACTAGTTGTAAAGTGACAAAAAATAGTTTTCTTTAAAGGTTGTTCCAGGAACATCTGCAGTGGGCCAAAAAGGCACCTTAGGGGACTTGTATTAAAGAATACAACATGGTCACAAGCAATCTTCCAAATCTTTCCAGGATGCCTAGGTCACTGAAGGCCTGCTCAAGGGCCTGATTCTGAGGTTTCAGATGTACTGATGTGTTGCAATAAGGCAGTTCTCCTTGTGACACTGCATCGTGGTGGCTGCAAGTTTATGTGGTCAGCTACCCTTGCACTGTTCATTTATTTGATAATATGTAGGTATTAGAAAGTTTTATGGTATAAAATTAATGATAGTGTATTATGACGGAAAGCACAGATTTTTAAAATACATAACTGGTTCACTGTTCAGACTTTTTGCTATGACACTTCAGGTAAGTTACTTAATATCTCTGTTTAACTTTTTTACGTAATATATGGATACCACCACCTCGCTTTCATGGGACTAAAAGATAATTTACGTAAAGTGACTAGAACGGTGCCTGATACATAAAAACATAATAAATGTTAGTTTCCTTTGATTAAATAATATTTGTGATGACATTTGAGTATCTGGCCTCTGGTTGGGGATGTAGCCCCTTTCATATCCCATTGTTTCCATAAGAAAATAACATATATTTTTGTTTATATCTTTTTCAAACAAACTATGGCCCCCCAAAATCAGTAATTTAAATTGTCATAAATTCAAATTAAAAAAAATTAGAAAATATATTTTAAACCTTAACAGTTACTTTGTTACCTTTATATCCTTTATTTTCTGCTTTTCAAAATTGTCAATCGTTTCCTCTAGATGCCGGGTTGTTCGGGTAGCATCCATCGTAGCTCTCTGTAATTCAGTTTCTGCCTATAAAAGTATCCCCCAACCAAAGATACAAAACAAATCAAGTCAGAATCCATTCAACTGAGAACACTGGTAATGTTACCAGTGCAGTATTGGCTTTCTGCCATAAATCACTCAAAAATATATTTTACCACATAAAGTAATATGATCTATATGATAAGCACATGCAAAATAAAGAACTTAAAATCTATTCGGTGACATGATTCATGATCTCAAACAAAAGAAAACAAAATTCCTTCCCTTTCTTCATACAAAACCATTTTTTCCCCTATATCACCCTTGGATGATTTAGTGTAAAACAGTTTTCTGTATTTTCCACTGCTTTCACCTGTTTCACTGTCTCTGCCATTTATTATACTCTGCTTTTCCTTCTCACTGTCTCTCTCCCCTTTAACCCTTTCTCCCCCAGGAGAAAAGACCTGTGACTTAAGTATTTTCAGTGTTCTAGTTCTTCAAATGCATGAAATGTTTCTAGCTCTGTAACATTCTAATCATGTAGAATCTATACTACGAATGTTTATTTCAGTATGGGGTTTCTATTTGTGTATTATTCTTACAAGCTAACAATATTACAGTGTTACTATTTCGTTAGTCCTTATTACAAAAAATATGTATACATATATACAGATAACTAGTAAGTTGGATTGACAGGTCTAATGCTTTCCTTCAAAGTACTCATACTATCTAGATCTGTCAGCAGTGACTGCCACTATCCACATGTAGCTATCTGCATTTAAATTAATTAACATTAAATGAAAATTTAAAAACTGGTTACTCTAGTTGCATTGCAAGAGCTCAACAGCCATGTATATAGCTGGCGGCTCCCGAACTTAAAGTGCAGAACACTTCCAGTCTAATCATGTATTTCTCTTTAAAAAAGCATCTCTTAAGGACAACAGTTGCCCAAAAATATTTTTAAATGCTTTGTTAAACAGTAACAAAGACATTTTAAAAAACATGGCCCAATTTTCTAATTAAATTATTTCTCATAATTTTTTATTTCCTACGCTTGTATTATGCTTCCTCGAAAGTGTCACATCATCATTTAAACAGTTAATCCATGGGAAAAATCTGCGGTGGTGACCAAAGTTTTGTCGCGCATAATGTTATGACATTTAAGCCCTTGCTTTCCTTTTCAAGAAAATGCATAAATTGAAAATAAGTAAAAGAGTTTTACTATAGGGATCCATCTCTTGACACATCACTTTATTACCCACCTGTGACTGAAGTTTTTCATAAAGGAAAAAATACATTTCAAAGAGAATAATTTCCTCCAATAAATTAAAATCATATGCTCTTATAGAGTTCTACACTTGCAATTATATTGTACTTTTATTATAACTATATTGAGTATAATATAGAGTAAATAACTCTTACAACTAGGTTATTTCAGATACACAGTCTCAAGAAACTCAGCATTTAAAACCTTCACATACACCTCTGTGTGTGTATATCTGCTACGTACACTGTACAGTTTTTTAAAAACCATGCAAACTTAACTTTTAATCATAACCAGTAATCAAAAATAATTCTCTATATTACTGGTCTTGGGATTTTTAAAAGTGCAGCTTCATCACAGGAAATTCTAGAGTAAAACAGAGCTCCTCTGAAAGTTTATTAGTATGAAAACATTTCCAGCAGTTATCTGATGCGCGTTAACCTTTTTCTAACGAGAATTGTCATGCAAACTGTTTTTCTAATATTGTTTATTACATATGACTCATGAAATTCTTTACTGTAACTACTTACTTTTGACTCCTGTCTTTTCCCTCCCCATTTATTGACAGTTTCATTTTAAAATGTAGAAGGATAGGTAGAGTTGGCCAAGCTAGGAAAGAGTAGGGAAGCAGAAGTCACAGCTGGGATGTGAGCCTCTTCATCCTTCTACCACCCGCCAGCAAGTACTGTTTGTTTCTTAAAGTCTCTAATCCTTTCACTCCGCATAGCAATTTCCCCTCTGTGAGCACACAGACCTACTTCATCTGTGGTATAAGACTGCCTCCTCCACAGCAGAGCATCGAAATCAGAAACATCTCTGTCTTAGGAACAGATTCATTTCTGCTTCGAGTGTCCATACTAATACCCCTGAATCAATTGTACCAACTGCTCAGGACTGCAGATGTGACATTTTTTTCTGCCTTTATGTACTCTACTCTTCCAAACAAAACAAAACAAAATTTTGACCTCTGGCTTGATTCTGAAGAACTGATGATATCCCCTAGCCCCTGCCTCGGTCCACGGTTGTCAGTTTTCCAGCATTCTCTAGTCTGTCTGACCTGCTTAAAACCCAGACTCTCTCACCTCCAGTTTGTAGATCTTAGGCTTCAACTACTGTCCAGATGTTCTGTCCCAGCCTCTTGTGGGCAGTCCCAGCCCTGTGGCTGTCCATTTTTGTTACAAGGTTGGGCATATGTACCTTTGGTCCAGAGGAAGGAGGACCAGGCTACTGGCATAGCCCCAGATCACTGCTCAAGAGATTCCCCTCAGAAATGGTGGTGTTCTGGAACCTCACATGTCCCCAAAGAGCCACTCCCATGTGGTTTCTGGCCAAGGTGGGTAGGAAAAACCTTAAGGAAGTAGGAAGGAGACATTCAAGAAGGAATAAGAAAAAGAGGCAGCGGGCTAAGTTACACAATTGCACCCATCCCAGTTGCCGGCAATCAGCCAGGCAGTATTTTCTATTCTTTTGTTTAGTTATGAACAAGGCACATTCTAGTTTAAGAAATGATCATTCTTAATAGAACAACCTTGTTACAGTAGACACTCCTATCTAGATCTCTTTATGTCTAGCTGTTGACCCAAATTATACCCTTGAATCTCCTGGAGAACTTTGGCTGGAAGTGTTATTGAAGATGAAAGGAATTTTACCAGGGAAAAAAATTGTTTTTCCTTCTTTTTATTAAACGCAGGGCTGACAGGGCATTGATATATTAGGATTAATGATAGATCTTTAATTTTATAATTACTATTTAGCTATCATGTGGAAAATCTTAGAATTTTGTATGTATTGTTTATAAAAACATCTGCATCTGTGAATTTTATTTTTTGAGTATCTATCGTGGAAAACAACATAAGAGGCCTGAATTAGGCTGTGTATGCTCTTTAAAATGAGCTAATTTCCATTGTAAGAAGTCGTAAATGCATGTGCTTCTTTTCAAGCTTTCTATTCACATTCTTTGCACATTTAAAAGCAGAAATGCATAATTTCTATGCATATTTATTTTTATACCGCATACCCTACAACATATTTTTTAAAGACCAAAACTCAAAGGATACAATAACATGCCGATCAGATGGGTTTCGCTGACGTGTTCTTTCTAACTGAGTTAACTGTTTTGCTTCTCGATTCCTTGCTGTTAATGTTGCTTTGAGGTCATCCTGCAAACAGGCATTTTTTTTTTGTTAATGAAAATCTCTGATTTAAGAGATAAAACACATACTTCTCTGTTTTAAGAATGGAGGAATGTTCCTTGTTTGATCCATGCATCACTACCACAGGAACATGACTACTGCATGATCAGCGTGTCTGTGTGCTAGACTGTGTAAGTGTGTGTGTTTAGTATTCTTTTAAATAACGACACAATTTCAGGGGAAAACTATAAATAAATACACACACAGCTTTGATTGTGGTGGTAGTTACATGTGCACATACCTTTGTTAAAACTCAATGAACTCAGTGAAAAAATTCAAATGAAAACAAGAATTTCATTACATGCAAATTATACCTCAATAAAGTTGATTTAAAACACAGAATTTTGGGAACATAACGTGCACCATGCTGACTAGAATTAGTAACACTACTGCATTCTGGAAGTTGCTGCAAGAGTAGACCTTAAAAGTTCTCATTACAAGAAAAAAATTTTGTGACTATGTATTGTGACAGATGTTAATCAGACTTATTGTGATCATTTCACAATATTTACAAATAACTGAATTATGTTGTACACGTGAAGCTAATATAATGTTATGTCAATTATACCTCAAAAAAGTGAAACTTTGTCACACTTATTTTATTGCCCACTTTAAAACAAAAATACATTTACATTAAGTTAGTAAAATAATTTGTCCATGACTATAAATATTAAATATTCTAAAGTTTCCTTAATAAACCAAATGATGCTTTATGATGCTACAGTAGTATACTCAGTAAGTGCAATAAAAATACTTCATTATTCTCAAAGTTCTAAGAAATAACACTTTAGAGCGTGTAAAAAGAATGACTAAACACAATTCTGTAGCTTTTATTAAAAGGACAGTTATTGGAAACCTCGTATGTTTTGCCAGAATAGCTAATAATAGTAGGAAAAAAAAGAATTTACTTACTCGTTTCATTCTTACAATGGTTCCATAAGCTTTCAAAGGTTCAACTACTTTGGCTTCAAGTCTTTCAACCTATTGAAAATTATTATAAAATATAACTGAAAAGAAACAGACATATCAAAGTTTAAATTCTGAAATAAAACTTGTGCTTTCTAACTTGAACATAGTGCACAGATTACTATATAGATTAACATTTAAAAATTTTTAAATTAAAATGTCACAATTACCTTTATAAATGAAAGAATAGTCACCAGAGATTGATGACTCAGAATCTGAACTCAAACATTAAAAACTGTCAAGCTGTACAGTAACAATAAAAGCTTTTGGGCAAGTTTTAAGACATCTCAGATTTTATTACAACTACCACTTTCAGTGTGTTTAGCAGAGTGATGGGTGTTTTACATGCATCATATCTGAAATGTAACAGCCCAACTTTCCAGGTAAGAAAATTGAAGCTGAAAAATACAGCATACTGGGAACATTTAAAGCAATACAATCCTCAAAAGCAAAAAGGCCTAGAGACAACCACTGTATTAGCTGCATTTCTTTTTTTTCTTTTATGGGAAGCCATTTGTAAATTATCAAATCTTAGAGAGTAAGATAAATGATCTCAGTGTTGCTGAGCTGTCACACTGTATGGTTGATCTCTCTTTTATTTAGAATTAAAATCTTAAGCATTGCAATTTTTATCACATTTTGAGTAATTCGTCCTTTTCTTACAGCATTAGCAGAAGGCACTAAAGAAATGGATTTTTTTAAAGGCGAGTATATAAACACAGCATAAGAGAAATGACTGCTGGACATTAAAATTTTCTTTTTCAGGGTAGGTAATACAAGATGACATGTATTTAATTGTTTAAAATGAACATGTATTACTTTTGTAACAGGGAAAAGGCTTTTGCTGATGATTCATGTTTATATAATGAGTGAGTATATATCACTTCATACTGATTTTTGTTTAGTTTCAATAAACAAATATGGAGTGCTTCATTTTTAAAGATTTTAGGAAAATGAAGATCAAGTTCTCATTGAGCATTTATATATTAGGAATCCTGAAATCAAAACCATGAATATTCAGGGTAATTTATACCATTTCAAATAATCCATACAGTGATTACTCATTGTAAGGATTATCCAAGTCTTTTTTTCTGTTCTCCTGTTTGGAGCCTACCTTCTTGTTCACTGTTCATTACCACCTCCACCATTTGGTAAGCAAGGGAAATAAAAAGGAGGACAATTGTAAATCAGTTCACTTTGCTATTTGATAAATAGCATAAGGTATTCTAGAAAGGGGCACTGAAATCATTACCTAATGTGAGATTTTAGGATTATCTGTGAGTATAAATTATTTTTGAAACAGTAAGTTCCCAGTTGTGTATAACTGATAGTTCATTACAGAAGAGACATCATATGACAAGAACTCAACATTTCCCCCTCAGAGCACCCCTAAATGTAATTACTATGCAAATTTCTGTATGGTCAGCAGTTACAGGTTCAAAAAGATCATTATCTTCTTTTTGTTTTTGAGGGTTTTTTTTTTTTTTGGATAACTGAAATTTATGTTTTAAGGCTTTTAAAAAAAGACCAAAAGCACTGATAAGGAAAGTACAGGAGAAGCAATGCAGCTCTAACTTGGCAATTTCTGACAAGTTAAACCTGCGTCTTGAATCCTAATAATATAATAAATATATAATAATAAACATAAGTGAAAGTGCTTATGACGTATTAAAGTAAATGGGTTTTCAGCGGGAGAACAATCACACCACCTTCTTCCCTCCCCGGCCTCAAAACAAAAAACTACAAAATTTCACTACTAGTTTGATGCATAATATAAATCAGTGCTCTTTTCTTTCCCCCTTTCAATGAAACACTGGCCAACTTTCCAGAGCATGAAAGCTGCAGCAAAGCTCTCTTGTCCATTTATTACTTATTCCCTCGCTTTACCACTCCCAACATCTTCCATCTCCAGACATACTTTAAAATATTCTCACCTGCGCACAAGACACAAGTCATGTTCCTTTTCTTCCCAAGGTTACTAGTTTACTATGCCCTGTAAATAGCCACCCCTTGGCCAAAAGTTGGCAAATGAAGTGGGGGAAATTCAGGACTTCAAGACTCCCTAGAGTTTAGTTTGAAAACGGTAAAATCACAGGAAGCTTCCCTTTAATAGACTCATAGAAACGTTACCGACATGAAAATGTACGTTTATGTGTGTTCGCCGCTGCAGCTGGGCAGATTACACGTCTTCACATTACACGTCTTCACGGCTCCTTCATCCACTACGTCAGGGCCCATTCCTAACAAGGACGCGGACCTCGCTCCCTACCTCTGCTTGGCGGTAATCCTGAAGTTTGGCAAACTCGTCAGCAAAGTTTTTCAGGCCCTGCTTTAAATGTGGGGTCTCTGTGGAGGCATACACGTTGATTTCATTCACCAGGAGGTCTGCTTTGTCTCGCAGTCTGGCAGTTTTCCGCACATAAGCAGCAAAGATTTGGCACAGCTCTCCAAAATGCTTCTCCACGTTTGTGACAGCATCTTGCAGTTGTCTGGTTTGAGCGTCCCTAGAGAAAAAGGTGACACAAAAAGCAAATCATTCTCCTCTGGGATGTGATGGCTTCATCTTTTCGTTCATTTGATATGCCAACATTCCCGGCCACTTCTCCAGCTTTGAAGGCGCAACCCTTCAAAGATCCCGCCACCTCCCAAGGCGGATGCCCCTGCTCTAGGTCCCCATTCCCGGCCTGGCCCCTGCATCCCATGGTGCAGGCGCATGAAGAGGCCCGGCTCCGGCCCGCGGTGGCGCTGCGCGGGGGCGGGGGCTGGGGCTGCTGGGGGCTGCGCGGCCTGGACGCCCGGCTGCCCCCAGGAGTCTGCACCGCCCGCGGCAGGGCGGCGGCCGGAGCCCGGGCAGCGTGGAGGGGCGGCCTCTGGGGTTCGCCGCAGCCCATGGGGTGGGCCCCAGAGCGCGGCGGGGCCGGTGCAGGCCCCCGGCCCAGGGCCGGAACTCGGCGCAGAGGCCCCACGGAGAGAGGCTCCACAACCCCCCGCCGGGGCCCCGGAACTGTTACCGGTTTTCCAAGCTGCGCCTCAACATCTTGCCTCGCGCGCGGCCGGAGACCCCCGGGCAGAGGCCCAACGATGGGGGCTCCGAGGCGCCCTGGCGAGCGCTGGGGGCGCGAGCCGCCGCCGGGAGCCCGAGCGCCCGAAAGCCCGCCCCGCGCGCCAGCCGCGCAGGCTCCGGCGTTTCCACGGCAAACGCGGCGCGCCCCCCGCGCTCGGGGCCCGCGTCCGGGAGCGCGGCGAGGGCGAGCAGGGGGCCCCCGGCGCCGACCCGCTGGGGGTCCAGCCGTGCGCCGCCGCCGGCTGCGAGGGTCTGGAGAGTGGCGGAGGCCGGGGCCGCTGCGGGGCCTTCCCTTCCGCCGCAGAGCCCCGCTCCCAAAGTCCTGTGCGCGGCCTCACACACCGGACGGCGAGCAGAGCGGGGGAAAGCCAGTCGGCCAGCAACTGGGAGGGAAACTAAGCCGGGCGCCGGCGGGCTCCAGCCTCTGCTTCTGCCGCGGTGAGTCCTGGCGCACATGCCCAGCCTCTGTGTTGAGTCTGAGAATGTGGGCTCTTGGAAGAGCAGTGCTTTCTGCCTCATTTGTAGCTTTTCACTTATTCAGCAAATACCGAATCTCCCTTTGTGGAAAAGATAATGTTAGGCACTGAGAATGATGCAAAGATAAACACCCCACCACCCCCTTCCACCCTCAGAGTGGAGGGCCTTAGAGTTTGATGCGGCGACAGGCACTGAGGACGGAAGGGCATACCCGAGATCAGTAACAAACAGGAGACTGCGCTTCGTTTGCCTCTGAAAACCCACGTCATTGGCCTTTGCTTGTGCTCCTCTTCCAAGTAAACACCATTAGGGCTACATCTACGCTTTATTCCTCTCAAGCAACCTCTTGTAAAAGGGAACCCTCCTACCCTGTTCGTGGGAATCTAATTTGGTGCAGCCATTATGGAAAACAGTATGGAGGTTCCTTTAAAAACTAAACAGGGTTTCTATATGACCCGGCAATCCCACTCCTGCACATACATCTGGAGAAAGCTCTAATTCAAAAAGATACATGCACCCAACGTTCATAGTAGCACTGCTTACAATATCCAAGACAAGGAAGCAACCTAAATGTCCATCAACAGATGAGTGGATAAAGAAGATGTGGAATGGAATACTACTCAGCCATTAAAAAGAACGAAATAATGCCTTTTGCAGCAACCTGGCTTCACCCAGAGATTACTATACTAAGTTAAGTAAATCAAACAGAGAAAGACAAATATCATATGATACCACTTACATGAGGAATATTAACAAAATGATACAAATGAACTTATTTACAAAACAAAAATAGGCCCACTGACATAGAAAACAAATTTATGGTTACCAAAGAAGAAAGGGGATTGGGGTGGGATAAATTAGGAGTTTGGGATGAACAGATGGAAAGTACTATACATAAAACAGATAAACAACGAGGACCTACTGTATAGCACAGGGAACTATATTCAATATCTTGTAATAACCAATGACGTGTAATGGAAAAGAATCTATGTATATACACACACGTATAAAACAGAATCACTTTGCTGTACAACTGAAACTAATACAACATTGTGAATCAACTATACCAATAAAAAAGAACCCTCTTGTGACAACTTCTACACTCCCCCTTCCTCTGTAGTATATTCTGTTAATTTTGTACTGTCTCCTGTAGGCTAGACTTTGAGCCCTTGGACACAGAGGAAACGTAGTTTTATCAGTACAAGTGGCTGTATCCCTCAGCCCCTTGTACTGATAAAAGTTTGTTTGGACCAATGGATGTCCCCAGTCCTTCGTTACCTCTCCTGCAGACCTCTTATACTCCCATGTTGCAGTGTATACCTCTCTCCTCCCCTCACATTCATTCAGCACGTTATCTATTGAATGTCTGGTGTCTGGTGAGAGCACAGTTCTCCTCTGAGGGATAGACACTAGTCAAACAAATGCATGTTGAATTGCTACTGAAGTAGGTGTTACTGTATCAGTTTTCGCTGATACACAAACCACACAAAACCTAGTGGCTTACAATACTCCTTTAGCTAACTCAGGATTCTGTTAAGTGGGCTGGGTGATTTTTCTGCTCTGGGTCTGCTCAGTGGGAACCTTTCATACCTTTCTGGTCAGCTGACAGGTCTGCTGGTGGCGGAATGAGCTAGGGTGATCTCACTCACAAGTCTGGGGGTGGGAAGGCGGTCAGCAGGGGCAACATGTGAGTGGCCACTTTTGCAACGTAACACAAGTACTAAGGAAAAGCATATATTGAAAACAGAAGTTTGGTTTGACTAGTTTGTCAGGGGACTTCATTGCGAAAGAGACATTTGAGCTGAGATCCAAAGATTGGGAAGAGGTTAACCAGGTGAAGGGGAAGGGAAAATAGCCCAGAGAGAGGGACGATATAGGCAAAGTGCTCTCTCCTCAAATCCAGTCCCATCTCTACCCTAGCTTCCATGTCTCAGGAAATGCTATCACCCTCCAGCTGATTGTTCAAGTCAGAACCCAGCAGTTACCGTGTCTTTTCCCCAGGCACACTAGCAGTTCCCATCTGTTCTACCTCCAAAACATATCCTGAATCTTTCCTTCTTTGGTTCTTCTACATCACCATAATCCAGGCTACCACCATCATTCACCTTTATGGCAAAGCCTCCTTACCGGTCTCTCTATGTCCGTAGTTACACACTGCAATGCAAAATCAAAAATGTGGATCAGATCATGCCAACCTTTCAAAGCCTAGATGGGTCAGAATGTTTGTGTCTCCCCAGAATTCATCTGTTGAACTGCCCCATCAGGTGATGGTATTAGGGGGTGGGGCCTTCGGGAGGTGCTAGGGCATGCGGGCTCTGCCCTCGTGAATGGGATTTGTGCTCTTATAAGAGACCCCGGAGATCTCCCCAGCTCCTTGTGCTGTGCTACACTGAGAAGACAGCTGAGACACTGAGAAGGAAGAGACTCTCACCAGCACCTAACGTGCTGGTGCCGAGATCTTGGTCATCTCAGCCTCTAGAATTGTGAGAAAGAAATTTCTGCTTTTTATATGCTACCCAGCTTGTGCTGTTTTTGTCGTAGCAGCTCAAATGGACTAAAAGGGATTCCCCATGTGCTTAAAATAAAATTGTCAATCCTTACTCTAGCTACTAAGACTGCATCTCCTTCTTACCTGTCCATCCACCGTTCCTCACTGCCCCAACTGAGCTATCACTGCAGTATCTGTCTCTGCTCCTAGAACACATCCATTTCAGTCGGTTTTGCGTTTGCTCCTTTCTCTGGTTAGAACACACCTTCCTCAGGTCTTCACATGGCTGGCCTCTTCTCACCATACGGAATTCTACTTCCAGGGCGCCCACAGAGCGAGGCTTCGTCTGATCACCGAGTTACCACCATGTCGCCCTGTTTCATTTCCTTTGAAGCGCATGTCACACTCTGAAATTAACCTGTTTTTCTATATGCTATTTGTCTCCCAGGACTAGAATGTATTCTCCATGAAACTAGGCACTTTGCTAGCGTGTTTATATTTATCACGTTCATATTATATACAGTATATATTATATTTCTCCTACCACCACAGTTCTTGACTCATAGTAGGAACGCAATAATTAGTTGAGTTTATCAATGAATAAATAAGTGAGTGAGTGAAAACCCCACGACAGAGGAAACAATGTGTGTTGAGGAGATGGAAGAAAACCAGTGAGTCTGGAGTAGAGGAGGTGGACATGATGATATATATGTGTTGGATTTAGAGGGATGGGTAGGGGTCAGGTCCTGTAGGCATTTTGACCATGCTAAGGGGTTTGGTCCTCGTATTAGGCAGGGTTCGCCGTAGAAAACCATATATATGGTTTTATTATAAAGAATGGGCTCATGTGACTGTGGAAGCTAAGTCCCAAGCCACGCAGTCAGCAAGCTGGGGACCCAGGAGAGCTGATGGTATAATTTCCAGTCCGAGAGCTGGCAGGCTCAAGATCCAAGAAAGGCTGATGTTTCTGGAAAAGCCACAGATCCTAGCTGGAACAGTCAGGCAGGAGGAATCCCCTCTTCGGCGGCCTTTTTGTCCTAGTCTGCTCTTTGATTGGATGAGGACCATCTATATTAGAGGGTGCAGTCTGTTTAACTCAGTCCACTGACTCAAGTGTTAATCCCATCCAGAAACACCATTACAGACACACCTAGAGGAATGTTTGGCCAAATGTCTGGGCAGCCTGTGGCCTGGTCCAGGCGACACAAATTAACCATCACAAACTTTGTTTCGGTGTCCATGTGAAGGTGCTGATGGGCCACAGCCATGCCTCTCTTGTTACCGTGTAACTCTTCAATCTGTTAGCAGGTGCCACGTAGATACTGTAGTAACTGTTGAACAAGTGTACACTGACTTGCCCTCTTTCAGTCTCCACCCAATATAGGGGATGAATGTGTTCTAGGAACCCTTCTCCCAAGATATCGATTTTTTTTTATCTTACTCTCCCATCAACAGACTTTTCAAAACATGCATCAGCACAATTGTTCTCAAGTCTTTTTCACTGGTTGAAGGCACTTTCTTTCTTGTAGGCCACACTTTCTCCTCAATCACATCTCATAGCAGAGGAGCTGGGGACCTGGGGAGGCCAAGTGCTTCGGCCAAGATCACGTAATGAGGTAGCAGGAGCTGGAGTGAAGTCCTTCGTCTTCCCTCCCTCTTGAATGTTCTTTCCCCTGTACCAGGATCTCTCCTCCTTCGCCAACTCCATTTTGCATTTTTTTTTTTACAAAATTCTTAAACAAATGTAAACATACATAGATTACTGGGGGTAGTCAATGGATGTCATTTCATATTTGGAGTGAGGAGAGTGTGTGTCAGTGATCAGTCCGTCATTGGTTTCAGAATCTCTCGGGATTATTGTTACAGGTTACAGGCAGTATAATTTGAGTTTTCAGTGGCTTTTCTTAAACTACTATGTGATATTTGTATACTTACTGTGAAAACAGCACAATCTTATTTCGTATAACAGCGAATGAACTCCAATTTAGGATAGTTTAAGAAAGGTCCAGTGGAGGCAGAGTTACATTAACTTCCTCCACTCATTTATTCAGCTCTAATTGCTGAGAATTTATTGTGTGCCAAGTGCTAGACTCACCCATCTTTAACCCAAGTGCTCTGAGTAATGTGAAAAGACACAGCTGTACACATAACTGGGTCATTAAAATTTTTTTCCAGTCTTATTTTTTTTGAACTTTAGAGATGATAATATAGTTTCAGTTCGATTATTTTATTTAAATTATGGCATTATTTTGTTAATGTTAGTGTCACTCTCTACCCATTTGTCCCATTTTAGAAATGGAGAAAAAACTTAAGTGTCCAACTATGGTCTATTGTATTTAATTGCTAGTGTTTATGCCCAACAGTATAACTTCGAATACAGTTGTTCCATGTTAAGAAGCTGAAGCAAATTTTTTAATGCTGATACATAGAAATAAAACCTCTCTCCAGTAAAATTTTAGTTTTCTTGTTTATT